CATGGTGGAGCACAGAAAGAAAAGAGCAGTGGGTGAGGAAACTAAGCTCAGACCACACCCATGATTGGGGCTGGTAGATGGAATAGGGCCAGCACAGGAGCAGGAGAATGAGTGGCCAGGGTGGCTGAGGCAGAAATCTGTTGATGAAGTAGCAGATGAGACAGAAAGATGAAGAAGGGGTCGCTAGTGCCACAGGTTGCAGAGAGGGAGCAGGCATGTCCTTAAAGACCTTGCAGTAGGGCCTGGTAGCACGTGCTGATAGTCCCAGCTACCTGGGAGATAGAAGTAGGAGGATTGAAAGTTCAGAGCCTGCCTGCTCTACAGAGTGAGTTTAAGGCCAGTCTAGACAAATCATTAAGACGGCCTCAAAATAACATGTAAGAAAAGGGCTGGGGTATAGCTCTATGGTAGAACACTGATCTAGAATGCTTGAGTCTCCAGATTTAATCTCTGGAGAACTAAAGAAGAAAGGGAGGGAGGGAAGAAGAGAGTCCTGGGTGGGGTGGTTATAGTCTGTGAGGTTATTCCATTGAAAAGCTAGGCTAGTTAGGTGCCCTTAGCCACGAAAAGGTGGCACAAATAGGACATCCCCTGCCCTGGCTGTTACTAGTGCCAAACGTTACCCAGCAGGCACTATGAAGATCCTAAACAATGCTAACAGCCCCTGACTCCTCAGACCATTCAGGAAAACACACACGTGAATGAGCAAAGGCTGATTATGGGTGATGTCAGATTAGGTTAACAGGGAGACATGACATGACTGACATAAGACTGAGGAGGTGCCATTTCTGCTGAGACTGGGAAAAGAGAATGGAAGCAGCCATGGGAAGAGCTAGGGATGGCCCAGGCTTCCCCTTACCCTTGCAAGTGCGAAGATTCTGTACCCAAAACGACTTGTGTCTGGAGAGCATGGAGGAAGAACCAGCTCATAAGGGTCTAGAGGTCCAAGTGCTGTAAGGCCTGAGGGTTCAATGAGCAGCTCACTAAAGCTTTTTAGACCGAGGACATGATGAGAAACACTTCATAAAGTCATGAGGGTGGGTGTGTTGATGCAGGCTGTAAACCCTGTACTCAGACGGCCAAGGCAGGAAGATCACCACAAGTTCAAGGCCAGCCTGGGCTACATCTGAGATTCATATTCTCTCTCTCCCTCCCTCCCTCTCCCTTTCTCTCACACACACATACACATCCCACATCCCACTGGGTATCTTATAGAGTCCAGGTAGGAGTCAATTTGGCTATGTCTGGAATGGTAATGTTTCTTTGGAGGAACATTCCTTTGGAGGAGGGAGGTGGTGGTGAGTGGTGGTTGTTTCAGGACCCAGAAGGAACTGATAAATGGTCAGGTGGGGAATGGTCATGGGGTCTAAAAGATGGCCCCACAGTTCGTTGTGTGTAGCCCTGCATCTGAGCTGTGTTCCTTTCTGCGTGCAGCTCATCATCCATGGCAGCTTTGCTCTGATCCAGATGCCCCGATTCCACATCTTCTTCCTGGTCCCAGCAATTATCTACGTGGGGGACAAGCTGGTGAGCCTAAGCCGGAAGAAGGTGGAGATCAGCGTGGTGAAGGCTGAGCTGCTGCCTTCAGGTACAAGCCTGGAGGTTGTGAGGGTACCAGCTTGGTTACTAAGGCAACTGATGGCGCAAACAGTGCCTAGACCACTCCAGTTTACTGGCCTGGCCCAATAGAGGTAGAAGGGACCTGGGGTCATTGGGAGGAATAATCTGATGAGGAATGTTCTTTGCTAGAAGATTGGGCCCTGCTTAAGGCAGAGAGTGGGGGAGCCTAGGCTTCCCCTTGCCCTGCGCACCCCCCAGCTCCTCCTCAAGGCGAGGCTCTCATAGAACGTCTACCTTGTCATCAGAGCTGAGACTGTAGTTGGAGGAGCTCTCCGGAAGCCATGCTGTTGCTGGGGTCAAGGCAACAGTCTCTTGCATCATCCCTTCCCAGGAGTGACCCACCTTCGGTTCCAGAGGCCCCAGGGCTTTGAGTATAAGTCAGGGCAGTGGGTGCGGATTGCATGCCTGGCTTTGGGAACCACTGAGTACCACCCCTTCACGCTGACCTCTGCACCCCACGAGGATACACTCAGCCTGCACATCCGGGTAGCTGGACCCTGGACCACCCGCCTCAGGGAGATCTACTCACCCCCGACGGGTGACACCTGTGCCAGATACCCAAAGGTGCCCAGACTTCAGGCCGGCTATCCACATACTCCTGTCTCCCCTCCCCGCCCCCACCCACCCAGTACCACCAGGCTCCCCACTATGCTGCCCCCCTCCTTCAGTTCAGAGACCGGTTGTCCCTGAAAACATCACAAAGCAGACCAAGCTCCACCCTGTACCTTTCCTGATGCCATGTAACCCTTTCCCTGGCCACCGTTTCCATTTCTGGCTTCGGAATGATGGCCAAGCTGAATCTAAAAACCACTGCACCTCCTACAGCTCTACCTCGATGGACCTTTTGGAGAGGGCCACCAGGAGTGGCATAAGTTTGAGGTGTCGGTGCTGGTGGGAGCTGGAATCGGGGTCACCCCTTTCGCCTCCATCCTCAAAGACCTGGTTTTCAAGTCAGCAGTCAGCTGCCAAGTGTTCTGTAAGAAGGTGAGTGCTAGACCACACTAGCACTAGTCCCCTAGCACTGCCTGTGTCCCCCGCCGCTGCTCTCCTCTCTCACATCCATGCAACAGCTAGTTGGTCTGGAACCTGAAGAGATGCCAGGGTGTCCTGACAGGCAGAATCGATGTACCGATGTCTGCAGGTGACCCGCCCAGTTTCCAAGAGCTCCTTCACTCAGCCATGGGGCACTCCACAACAGCCTTGCTTGTGGGAGTCTCTCCAGGGAGGGCTGAAGGGAGGCAAAACAAAACAAGCAACCAACGAAACTGCATTCTCTCATCCAGAAGAGGCCAGCCCTTGGAGCCCTGGCTGGGAGAGGGAAGGGCACCCTTGGGGTGGGGCACAAGTAAAACTGGCTCAGGTCTCAGGATCCAGGGGAGGTGCCAAGGTAGGACTTGCAGGTAGGTTGGCCCTAGCAGCACAGCTGAGCCTTCGCCGCCCCCCCCCCAGGCCCGTTTTTTTCTATAGTTGGGACCCAACGGCAGGCCGCTGCTTGTCTCTCTGGGCCTGGCAGGTGAATCAGGTGTGCTGGTATGCAGCGGGCAGAGGCCCAGCCTACATGCTGTCAGCACTCAGAGAGTGACAGCTCCTTCCCTGCCCTGGCCCAGCTCTCCTCTGCTCCTTCACTTGCAGCACCTGGCTTTTTCTCTTGAAAGTTGACCTTGGCTCCCCAACCCTGGGAGAGGGGGCCTCCCTTTTACAATTCGGGCAGCTGGAAGAAGGCAGAGGTGGCCAGCCTCCTGCCCTAGTGGTGCCCACTGAAGGAAGCGCTGGGCTCAGCTTGGCCCGAGGAAGCTGCCTGGGGCCCAACAGACCTTCAGCTCAGTTGTGGTCTAGTACCAGGCTGCCTCTCACTCCTAGGGCGATTCATCTCTAGCCTTAGAACCTTTTCTATTTCCCATTCTATTCCCCAGGCGGTCTGGGGTCAGGCACAGACCACCTGGGTTGGAATTCTGTGTTGAGATCATGGAGGGAAGCCTAGCTGAGCCGGCCCTGAGCCCCAGTGTGTGTCCTCAGATCTACTTCATCTGGGTGACAAGGACCCAGCGGCAGTTTGAGTGGCTGGCTGACATCATCCGGGAGGTGGAGGAGAATGACCGCCAGGACCTGGTGTCTGTGCACATCTACATTACCCAGCTGGCTGAGAAGTTTGACCTCAGGACCACCATGCTGGTAGGGCAGGGCCAGCCAGGCAGAGCAGGTGGGCCACCGTCAGGACCAAGGGCTGGTCCTAGCGATGACCTTCTCCCCTACCCCCATTCCGTTCCCCAGTACATCTGTGAGCGGCACTTCCAGAAGGTGCTGAACCGGAGTTTGTTCACGGGATTACGCTCTGTCACCCACTTTGGCCGCCCTCCCTTCGAGCCCTTCTTCAACTCTCTGCAGGAAGTCCACCCCCAGGTGAGTCTCGGCTCTCTTCTCCTTTTATCATCTGAGCAAAGCTCTCAGACCTGCTCTAGCAGGGAAAGAATTGGTCAGTGCTGAGAATCCATGCCTTGGGAGTTTGGTAGGTTACAGACTGGAAAAGCACAGATGGAGGGCCACCTGAAAGTGGGAAGGAAGGATGAAGGGAACAGAGATTTGCCAGCTCTGAAGCCTGAACTCACCCACCAATCGGAAGAGCTCAGTAACAGAAATATTCCTTACTACACACCAGTATACTGAGTCAGACCTTTCCCTGGATGTGGAACTAATTTTCACCATGAACAGTGAGTGGGCTGGCCACAGATCTCATATACACCAAGTTGGCCCTTTCACAGTGATGTAGCACTTACAAAATTGAGCTGGGCTTACAGCGAGCTTGCCCTCACCATGCATGGTACAAAATAAAACCTCAGTGGGAACCCTGGATGATCTTTCATAGGACCAAAGAGCTAGCCTGCATGAACCTTGCGGTTTTTTCAGTACTGACCCAGCTCTGCCAGTAAATTTGTTCACCTTTGGCTCTTCCTCCTGCAACAGGTTCGAAAGATTGGAGTATTTAGCTGCGGTCCCCCTGGCATGACCAAGAATGTGGAGAAGGCCTGTCAGCTCATCAACAGGCAGGACAGGACTCATTTCTCTCACCATTACGAGAACTTCTAGGCCTCCTGCCCAGCAACTCTACCCATTACTGCCCGGCAGAACAGGTCTTTGGCCAGCACCCTAATCCAGTACTCCTCATTTCTGGCTGCCTTGGCCTTGGCCCCCTTTCCTACCTGCCAATATGATCCAGGTAGCCAGGCTCAGGCATCATGTGTGGGTTCAGGAATCTCTAGGGCCAGAATGTGTCTGAGCTTGGAGAAGGGCCAGTATTTAAGAACTGAAGGTTCAGAAGTAGGGGAGCTTTCAGGTTGGGACAAAGCAAGGATTCTTTCAAGGAAAACAAAACAAAACAAAACTCAGTTGACAAGCTATCGTTTGTGTAGGTAGTCTGAAGATGAAGTTGGTGGTACAGATGCAGGCATCTTTGAGCCCTCTACACTCTGCAACTCTTCTCTCTTCCAGTTCCCCACTTTGAACATGGCTGGGAGATGTCTTAGAGTAGGTAGAGCAAACATACAGAAACCTCAGGACCAGCCTAACTGGACAACTGACCTTTTGAGTTTTAAAATGCAGTCAGACCTTTCCGTGCCTACTAGCCGCCTGGAGCAGTGCCCCTCTGCCCTATTTTCCCAGTTCCAGTGGTCTCTTTTGCAAATAAACTGCGTTTCCACCTTTGGGGTTCTTTTTTTTCCTTTCTGTCTCAGGTCAGGGTAAGGCTAAGGAAATTATCCATCCACTGGGCTTGCCACGGTGGTCCATACGTCTTGCCAGACCGAGTAAAAGCAGCAAAGGCGGAGTACCCCAATGGGGGTCCCTTCTGTCCTCCTGAAGGGTACCCTAGCCACTTTGGCCAGTTAGGCTGATGGCACTCAGGAAGGGCAGAGAAGAGTCTCCAGGGAGCTGCTGGCCTGAGACAAGGTCTTCCAGGCAGAGAGGAGACAGAAGTCTCCTAGCCCCTCTAGGGCGATTCACGGCATACATTAGCGCCCGGGGGTTGGGTTGAGGTAAGGGGCCTCAGGTCGTCCCGTCTTCCCCCAATGAACTTGCTCTTGGGGCAGCGGGGAGAACCCGGGCCACGGGCGTCGGCGGAGGCGCCCTGAGCACCCGGCCAGCAGAGGGCGCTAAGGGAGAGCGCCGCCGCTCGCAGGGCCGGTGGACCAGCGGGGGCGGTGGGGGAAGGCTTCCGCCCGCGCGCACCTCCCTCGTGGCGGCGCCGCCCCTTTGTCTCTCCGCGCCTGCCAGACACACGGCTGCCGGCGGGAAGCGGGGCTCGCAGGGCAGCCGTGGTGGGAGCGACGCGGCCCGGGACGGCCCCTGCCCGGCGCCAGCGGCGGGGCGCGCCTTGACGTTTGCTCAAAGGAAGGAACCGGATGCACGGAGAGTGCTTTCCGCAGGCGGCCGGCGGCAGCTCCAGCGCGGGTTTATCGACAGAGTCTGCGCTCGCTCCCCGTCCCCTCCCGTCAGCCTCTGGGCGGCGCCTGCAGCCGTGCCTGGTCGAGCCTCTGGCCCCGAGCCCGGCCAGGCCCTCTGGGAACAGGGGCTGGGAAGATGGAGAGGGAGGAGCGGAGGAAGGTGCTGGGAGTGGGGGTAGCCACTTCCTCCCTAGGGTCTGACAGGGGCTGGAGTCCCCTTCCTCCTCCGGCTTTCCTCTGTTCCCAGCCCCACACAGCCCCTTTATTCCAGAGCCCAGGATTCTCTCCCCTTTGTAATAAATTAAGGTATCTTCAGCGCCTACTAGATCCTAGGACAAGGGACAGCCAGGTCTGTGACATCATGTCCTTGGCAAGAAAGAACCACAGCCCTAGGGCAGGTGACAAGGGCTTCGTCCAGGTCTATCGTAGTGCCCTGGTCTCACATCTACAGAGTCCTGATGGCCACTGGGTAGAGCAGGGACATGTGCTCCGCCCCCTTAATGGGCAGCTTGCGGCTGGCATAGTGGTGCACGATTTCAGGGACGCTGCTGAAGGGTGGGCTGTTCTGGCCCAACACATACTTGTGTTCCTTGGTCCGGGACAGCTTCATATGCATGAAGCCCTGGCTGCTCCTGGGAAGAGAAAGAGATGAGATTAACAACCAGTTCTTCCCAGTCCCCTGTTTCTAACTCCTCCCCTCAACCCCGAGTAAACATGGTTCCAAAGCCAGCTTCAAATGGGAGGTGAACAGGAATGGGATGGTGGGGCCGAGTTGAGTAGGTAGCATGAGACACCAGCTTTGTGGTGAGGACACTGGGTGTGTCAAGAATGTGTGTATGGTGAGTGTCCAGGGTGTGTGCTGAAAAGAGCGGCCACCAGCACCCTGCAGATCTGTAGTCCTAGCCCATCACCCTGTGGCCAAGGCCAGTTTAGCCTTCCCTTGATTTGTTTTTTGAGACGGACTCATGTAGTTTGGGCTAGCCTCAAATTTGCTATTCAGCCAGAGGGACCTCAGACCTGTGATCCTCCGTAATCTACCTCTTGATTACCAGTGTGTGCCAGTTTATGGAGTGCTGGGGACTGAACCCAGGGCTGACAGGGTAGGCAAGCGCTTTACCAGCCGAACTACAGCCCCAGCCCTATGCTCGGCTCACCCTTCTTGAGTTACATACACTGCAGCAGCCGTGAGGGGGTCCCGGTAACTAGGGAGCCACAGATGGCCCTGGCAGGAGGGAGCTAATATTTGGTTGGAGCTCGCTGCAAAGTCTGAGGAAGCACTAATCTGGAAACTCTTCCAGTATGGGGCTTCTCAACTGCCTCCTGGAGACATCCTTTCACCCTCTTCCTGTTAGGTCGAAGTATATCTATCCAGCTCTTAGGCCTAGAGCGACATAACCTGTGAGCCAAGGGTGTGGGCAATGGGGGGGGGGCAGGAAGCATCGGCCCCCGTGTGCTGTGGGAGGCAGTGTGGCCCCTGTCTTCTCTCACCTCACAATTTGAGAGCAACCCCTTCCCACAGTCCACTTGGGACTGCTGGTGTCAAACTGCACTGAGTGTTTTTTCAAGGAACAGACTCAGTAGGAAGGGTAACTTGGCCTCCATCGGCATTACCAACTTCGGGAGGAGGGGTGGCTGTGCTTTTCAACCTCCAGGGACTAGTGCTAAGGGTCCATTAAGACACAGCAAGGTCCTTGCCAGACCCTCAGGGGGTTGGGTGGGACTAGCCAGGCCACTGGGTCTAGGGCTGGCAAGGCTTTTTGAGGAAGCTGTTTAATTACCAGTGAAAGCCCTTCCATTAGGGAGAGAAGAGAAACCATAATTGTATTTCAGAGAAGCCATTTATATGCAAACGAGACCCTGGCAGACAGCCCACGGGGCCAGATCAGCTAGAGCTGTAGCGGATGTCCAGGCCTGCCTTTTTATATCCCACACTAAGGCAGTCTCTCAGCCCTAGTTGCCCAGTCCCACCCCGAGGACCCACACCTTGGCAGGGTCTCCCTTGAGCTGGATAGTACTAGATTTCCAGCTTCCGGCATCTGCTGAGGGGTGGAACCCCGTCACTCAAGTGTGGCTCCTGAAGTCAGACTGAGCTAGGCCCTGTGTTTGTGGATTGTGAAACAGTCTCCGGCTGTGTTCTCAGGGCTGGCCTCAGCTTCCTGAAAAAAGTGAGGCTGCAGGTACTATCACCATATCCAGCTTGGAGACGGAATTATTAGCTGGTGACCTTGAGTTAGTAACAAAGCTCCTTGAATATATTTTATCTGGATGAGAAAAAGATTTATCAGCACAGTGGTCGTTGAGTTGGTATATATGTTAGGTGGTACGTGCCAAGGATTTCAATTATAATCTTAATAATGATATGCCACCTAAAGCTGCGTAAATCAGATTTCTGACAAATGAGTTTTTCCAAAATCCCCTTTTTGATTTTATAGCTTGTGGAAGAAAGCCGTGGTGTCAGCAGGAGAGAACCTGAGGCTCAGAAAAGTTAGATGCTTTGTCTGTGGTCACACAGCTAGTTGTATCAAACCCCAGGACAGAGCTGAGGCCACTTAACTCTCTTTGGTAACTTTTTCATATTTAGTAAAGATGAATAGTCAGCTCTTAAATGCGTGCAACTGTAACCCTTCCATTTGTTTGGGGGCGGAGGGGGTGCATATGCCCTGAGGTATCTGAGGTGGGGGATGGGGAAAGTAAATGGACACCTCACTCCAGCTGGCCACCTTACGTGGGTGACAGTCTACCCTGGGTAGCCAAGAGGAGCACTGGAGAGCTGCTCCCAAGGAACAAGCTGCTGGGAGAGGAGAGCCCCATCCTGGCCATCTCTTCCTGTCCCCTCACACACAGAGTTCCTCGTGCAGTGGAATGGCTTTGCATCCTCTGCTCTGTCCTCCTCCCAAGACCTAGCGCCCCACCTCACGCTGCTGATGACCTCAGGTAAAGCTCCTAGATCTTCTTGCAGGTGCTGCTGCATGTTAGGGTTTAACAACGGTGATGATAATAATTTATTAAGCACTCTTCCTGGTGCTTAAAAACACGTGCGGTGCTGAGACACTAGGTCAAGTGCTATTATTTCGCCTATTCCTTCCCAATAAAATGGATCTTATCCAATGTTATCATAAAGAAACAAAGGCCTGGAGAGGGTGAACGGCGTGACAGAAACCTGAAATACAGGGCCTGAGGAGTCTCAGACATTTCAGCTTCCCCAGTGCCAGGGTAGAGCCAGCATCTGTTCACACGGCTTGCCCAGTCTGGCTGGGCTGGAAGAGAATATTGGAATCCTCTTCTGCCCTGCAGGTAAGGGAATCCCCCCCCCCCCCCCCCCCGCCATCCCCACTCACTTGAGGGAGAGAGAGAAGTCATTCTTGCTGGTCTCACTGTTGCGTACCAGGTAGCTGGCTTCCTTGCACAGCCGGAGCAGGTTCTCGGCGTCTGTTCGGCTGATGGCCCCGTGGTACCAGCTGAGGATGAGAGAGGGGAAGGGAGCGTCTCTGCTGGGCCCCTTGCCATCCAGGCCCACCCATTCTGGGTGTCCCCTACAGGGAAGCCAGTTCCAGGAGGGGAGGAAAAAGGGAGGAAGCCTCCGCTGGACACAGACACTCACACCTGGTTTTCCAGAGGCAGTGCTGGATCTGTCCACTCCCCCAGGGGGCTGCTGGGTTCCACGACTAGGGGCTTGGCTGACTTGGGGTTTCCAGCAGAGAGCCGAGGAGGTAGCCGGCCCTTCTCCTCCCGGCCAGGTGACAGGCAGTTCTTCTCCGATCCTTCAAACTGGGCTGTAAGGAACACATTGGTCATGGACTCTGAGGTCCGTGGAGGCAGAGCCCTCTCACACAGCCAGTCCTCTGCCCTACTTCCTCCAAGTCCCCACAAAGGCCAAAGGCCTGTTCTGGGAGGGCATCCTTATAGGCCTTGCCTGCCTGAATCCTGGGACGGAATCCTGGCCCACTCTGGGGGAGGGGTAGAGTCTCTGAGCCACAGCAAGCCTCATGGGGCCTCCCAGTACACACAGGCAGGCAGGGAGGGAGGACAACATGAAAAACCACTTAGGCTTGCTCCCTCAGCGGACTGCCTTCCCTTCCATCCCCCTCAGGGTGGCTTCGGTGCTGATAATATTGTTTCTTTCTCCTCTTCAGAGTTCATTACCGTTTTCCAAATCGGCCTGCCAAGCCGTTCTGTAGAAATGACTTATTGATCTAAGAACAATTATCTGATTCCCCTTGGTGCCATCCTGACAGGCTAATCCTGTCCAAAGCCGCCAGACTGCCGGCCCTCTCCACCCAAAGGTTGCTGCCCTGTGTTTTCCCTGCCCCATCCACAAAAGCCCAGGGGGTAGCTCTGTGTCTTCAGAGCCGGGCAGCCCAAGAGCTGAGACAGCACAAGGACAATACCCCAGGGGGGTCACATGGCCACAGGTACACATGCCTTAAATACCCACAAATTCTCATGCACCCACCGTGTGGGACAGATGCTCACGCCTGTACACAGCACCAACACCCTCCCCCCACCCCTGGGCATTCCTTCCGAACAGCGATGGATATAGAGGAAGAAGTTGATATCTTCTGGTTTTTCTCCCCCAACTGGAACTCGTCCTCCTTGTAGCTTTTGAATGAGCATCTTATCATCCTTCAGTCACCTGATGTGAGGATCTCCTCAGCCAGCACTTCCCCATACCTCACCTCACCAACATCTGCCTTGGCAGGCAAATCTCCACCCAAAGAGAGCTTAAGTTTTAAAACAGTGGATTTTTCTTTGTTTTCGACATAGTTCTACTCTATTGCCCAGACGGTTCTGGGCATAGCAGCTCAACGTGGCCTCAAACTCATGGTGGTCCTCCTGACTCAGCTTCCTAAGTGTTGGAATTATAGCTGACAACTGGATTTTTGTGGCATGGTGCAGAAGATACTAGGAAAGGGCCTTTGTTAAGAGACCCCACACACAGCTCTGGGGAGGTGGGGATGTACACTGTCTCTTCCTTCTCCCTCCAGAACAAGGGGCATTTTTCCAACGCAAGGCCACAGGGCCTAAGAGGCAAAGGACCTATCACCCTGGCCATAAGTCCCCAAAGGACCCACCGCTGCTGTCTTCCAGGCTGGGCTCAGGGAGGGGTGAAGCTGGACCGGAGATGTCCCTGTCCCCATCAGGCAGGGAGGGGCTGCTGTCCAGCTGTCCCACAGGCGGAGGCCAAGGTAGGTCTTTGATGACCTTTATGTCAACTGGAGCCAGCAGCAGAAAGGAGAAGAGAAAGAGACAGTGACAGAGACAGAGAAAGGCAGAGGTTGAGACACCAAAACGCAGAGCTAAGGTACATAGCCGCCTAGAAAGAAGGGGCAGAGGCAGAGGCAAGGGCAGCACTGGAGGAGGAAACAGGACTACCCAGGGAGCAGGGCAGGTACTACCCACACCAGTCTGGCTCAGTGAGGAAAAGGTGGGAGTCTCGAGTGGCAAACAGGAAGGCATGGGATCTTGCTCTGTCAGCCCTGTGAGTTCCCTAATCGTCCACCCCCTCATAGCTTCCAGGAACCAAGAGGACCAGGAGAGTACAACTCGGGAACAGGAGCTGCCCACGACTCCCAGAACCACACCTGGTCCCCTCACACCCTTTTGTCCCATTATCTCTTCTAGCCTCCAGCCTGGGGGCTGGCAGACCCCAAGACTGCTATGAAGCCTGGGGGTATCTGGAATACTCAGACTTGGGGCAGAGGGATTTTTTTTTTTTTTTTTGAAACTGAATCCTCCTCTTCCCAGTCCTGAGTGACGACACTGGTGGCTTCAGGGCCACTGACGAGGTTTCCTAATGATGAGAATAGATTTCCCCATTAAGCAATCAAAACAGTATTGATTCTCCAAGGAGACTTCTGGAGATAAATGGCCCGTCCTTGACGGGTGTGTGCTTTCCAGGAAGCAGAGCAGAAACCTGTGGTTTCCCAGTCTGGCTGCCAGGATGGGGCTAGATGTAAGAGAGGCTGTCGTGTGTGTGTGTGTGTGTGTGTGTGTGTGTGTGTGTATGTGTGTGTGTAGGGACGTGGAGGCAGGAATGAAATCTAATGGCACTAAGTCCTCAAGATTCAGGAATGACGGCACTCGGCTCCACCCACCTCAGACTGCCAATATGCACGTTTCCATGGTGGACTTGGGCCTGGGACACAGTGGTGTGGTTGGGACAGGAGAAACCTGATCTTCATGCAACCTCACAGCCTCCATCTGCAGCCCAGAAATGCCCTTGGGGCCAGATACCCCTGGTATGGCAGGGCCTACCGCTAGAGACACAGGCCCGGAATCCAGGTTATACATACATGTATTCATTTGAAGTGTTATACTCTCTTTGTCAAAAATATTCAACATAGGCCACAACTTTCATAATTCGGTATTGCAATTTCTTTATTTTCATTCATGGTTATAGCTTAAGCCTCCCGGAAGAGGTGAGAAAGTGTCCTCACTCTTTCTGGGCCCACGTTCTGCACACAGCGCTGTTTCCACTCCCACCCCACCCCACGGTACAGAGCTCACTCATCCTGCCCTAGACCTCCACTCCTGGACCTTGCTTGGTTCTGAGGGCCCGCTCCTTCCACTCTCCTGAGCCTGGGGGGTGCTCAGAGGCCCCAGTAGAGCTGCCCTCCACAGCCAGACTCACCAGCGAAGGCTTTGGAAATCCGTTCCTTCTTCCACTCCCAGGGCTGGTCATACTCCTCCGGAGGCCTCTCGTCGTCCTCAGGCAGACGGGACTCCCTGAGCCAGGGAGTGCCCTCTCCTTCTGGGCTGACCCCCTCATCCTCTGGCTCATAAGGTGTGTCATAGAGAGGTAGGGGCTGAACTGCTGTCTCCTTAGAACCCCGGATCTCTGCCGGGTCAAAGAGGAGAGAGGTGTAAGGAATAAGCTCAACCCAGAGCTGATGCCCTAGCTCTAGGGAAACTCAGCATCCACAGATCCCGAGTCCTTCACTTTTGAGATGTTTCCAGGGCGCCAAGAGCATGCTCTTGCAAGTGACAAAGTAAAAGACAGAAGGATCCCGGCTGGCCAGCAAGAGCTGGGAAGCTGAAGCAGGCAATTTGAGGAAACCTCGTCCATCTGTTCCTCAGTGTCCAGCTCTGTTTACTTATTCATTCATTTCCACTTACGTTCTAGTTCAAATATCTTCACTATCAGGAAATCCTCTGTTGCTCAGACACTGGGCCCCTTTTCTTAAACCTTTTCCTTTGACAAGTTAATTTTTTCCACTGTCTTCTCTCCTCCCCACAGATCTTTTCTCTGGGATCCTCTCTTGGTCTCTGTTCCCAAGCTCAGGCTGTGCTCCTAAGCCATCTGCCCAGACTTACAGCACCACTACATCTGGAGTTCAGGATGCTTCATTTTGACATCAGCTCCCTTTAGACTCACTACCTTCTCCAGAGCTATGAAATCTTTGTGGGATCACTGACCCAAATCTGAGAAAAGCCCCAGAGCTAACTTGTTACAAAATGTATATTTTAGACTGTGACTGCATCTCAGTGGTAGAACACCCGTTTAGCATGCATGAGGCCTCGGTTTAATCCCCAGAGTACAATCCTCGACTCCAGTCCCCCAAACAAAAACGAACGTTTAAAGCATTTACATTTTCACATACGATTCCAGGACATCCACGGCCCACATTGTCTCTCACACCTAAACAGGGTAGTCCTTCTCACTTTCTCCACTTCTAACCCGACCCTGCATTCTTTAAATCTCACCTGCTGTTTCCAATACCTCATGACTTTTTTTTTTTTTCTTAGACACTGTTTCTCTGTGTAGCCTTGGTTGTCCTGGAACTCACTCTGTAGGCCAGTCTGGCCTCGAACTTAGAGATCTGCCTCCCTCTGCCTCCCTGAGTGCTGGGATTAAAGGCATCTCTGCATATCTAGACTTTTACTAGGACAAACCTCCATTACAGGCTCCTTGAAATAATCCTCCTGTGATGACACTCTTTCCCTTCACCCACAGCAGCTTATCTGACTGGCCAGTGAGTGCTCACTTTCTTTCTCAGAAATACAGTAGTTCTGGTTCTTTCTCTTCCACAGCTACCTGTGCTGCCAAGCCTGAGTGGCATGTTCAAGTCTCTTGAAAAGTATTAAAAACAAACAAACAAACAAACAAACAAACACCCATTGTGTTAACATTGATAAATGATACTCTTTGAGCAACTTTATCAATAATAAAGTTGAAATTTTAATCTTCAGTAACCCTTTCTTATATCTTACTTCTTAGTTATTTCTAAGCTGAGGAGAGAAAGAAGGAATTTTTAATTACCGGCTCTTTAGAGCCCTGACAACTGGGCTGGGCATGGGGCATATGCTTGAAATCCTAGGTAAGGTCAGGAGGACTACTGTAAATCTGAGGCCGGCCGGGGTTAGATAACAAAGTTCCTGGCCAGGCTGGACGGCATATGGAGACCATGTCTTATATAAACAAAAATGCCACCAGCAAGAAGCAACAAGTCCTACCATTTCTGAAACAGTGTACCAACTCACCGTGCTGACAGGCAACTCTTCCAGTCCATTCTGGATGCAGCGGCCTCAGAAATCCCCATCAATGCCACCTTCATCTCATCTCTTCCTTCTCGCACAAGTCCACTTCGGCTTCTGCCCCTCTTGGTCTCTGCCATCTCAGAGCCTGAACCAGCATTTCTCTTGGGCTGTCCTTGTCCTCTCTCTTCACCCTGATTGACTGACTCTTTCCCTCAGTCATCTCCTGGCCTCTGTTTCCCCAAGGACAGGTCTGATTCAGTTCTTTTCACTCACTCACCCCACTCCATGGCAACTAATGCATCTACATTTTCAATCGCTGTTAGTATTTCTCTTCCATAACGTCAGTACAAACTTATCACACTTCCAAAGGCTACTGACTACTCTCTTCTGGGGATGTTTGACTCACCCCAAACAACCATCCTGCCCTTCCTATGCCCAGTGCCCACTGGACATTTGGTTACATGGCCTCCTTTATGGCTTCAGGTTATACTTTCTCTTCCAACTACCTTGAAGGCCTTGACCACACTGCTGAAGACCTGGCACATGCTTTCTCCCTAGGTAACACTGGACCAGTCCTTAGATGTGTGCAGAGCCAAGGCCTCAGGGAGCTTCTCACTCATCCCCAGTACTTACCAGCCATCATCTTCTGGGCCTCATAAGGCTCCATGTAGCCATCATTTTCAGGGACCTTTTCTGAAGCTCCTGAAGCGCCTCCTGAGCCTTCACCAGTCTCCTGAACGTCAAATGGGTCCGCATAGTCCTCTAGGATTGCCAACTGTGGAAGAAGGCAAAGAAAATGAGGCTAAGACAAGGACAGAGGTGAGGCTCCTTTCTTTCCTGCTTATTTTCTGCCTTGTGGTCATGTCTGAGGTTAAACAGCCAGGAAGAAGCTACGGGGCCTAAAAGTTTATCCCGGGGTCGGAGCTGGACAGCAGCCTAGACAGTGGCTCAACGGAGAAAACTCAAAAGCAGTGGTCACAGATGTGTGGCAAGAATTGTGCTGAAGAGCAGAAGAGCGAGGCAGCTCAGAGATTAGCACAGTGTAGCCGGCCACACTTCAGATGTTCAACAAAGGAACAGCCAGTGACCTTGAGGAAACTAAAGCAGATGTCGTAGCACAGGCCTTCAATCCCAGAACAGCACTCAGAAGACAAGAGGCGGTGGCGCTCTGGGAGTTCAAGGCTATTCCAGGCCAACCAAAGTTATGTGGTAAGATCCTGTCTCAGACAGAGAGAGAGAGAGAGAGAGAGAGAGAGAGAGAGAGAGAGATCACTGTGTCACCATTAGGTAGCTTGTCCTTATCAGGTCCTTGTTATACGGGTATTATAAACTCTCTTTGAAGAAACTGGACAACAGGCAGTTAGGAAACATACCCCAAACCATTCTGCATCAATGGAAAAATCCGATTTGGAACCCATTCTATTTGTGTATAGTGTTATTAACCTGTAACCAGCAGGCCTCTCAGCCTCCTGAGAGATATATACGTTAGGGCACCCTGAGACACTACTGAAACCCCCTGAGTTCCCAGTGGCCAGGGACCAGAAAGCCAGTCTTAGCTTTCCATTCCCCCTGTTGTCTGTCCCTTTCTCAGCCATCAACCGTCTTGCTCCGTGAAGGAAGAGGAACCTGACGCTCTCAGGGCAGGCAGGGCTGAGGACAATAGAGTCTTTCTCCCACTGGGCAGGAGAAGGTGGGACTCACCAAGCCAGACCCTGGAGCACTGTGCCACTCACTAGGTCACAGTTGGCATCAGAGGTGGCTCTGGGGCCCGTGGCACAGGGAGAAACCACGCCTGCATTTCACCAAACTGAAGCCTAGACTTCAGATCTGAGGGGGCCAGCTGAGCCAGGTGTCCACCCTGCCCTCAGTGAGAGGAGCTGGGAATGGAGACCCCCTGGCAGGACGAGATGGAGAAAGAAACAACCTGACCTCACACACCCCTTTGGCTCTTCCTTTGACCCCATGTGGTCCATCTGCAGGCTTCTGAGGTTGTCCCAAAGGCTGCCTCTACCTCTTCCTCAGGTGTTTGGCTCCCACCTTAGCTACTTCCCCTCACACGTGCCTGCCCCAGGTACCTCACATCGGCACACCGGTTCCCCATGTCATCTGCTAGCCTACATTTTGTCTCCCCAGCTCCAGGAAGCAACTGACAGAGGCACAAGAAAAACCCCTCAGTTCTATGAGCACCATCACTCTAGCGCTAGGTCCTCCTTTCTCCAGGAAAGATGTAGAGTGTGTACATCACACACGGTCTCCCTACCCCCGGCCCTTTTCTCCCAGGCCAGTGGCACCCGCAGCACCCCCCACTGCCCACTGCCGACAGCTCTGCACGTCAGCCCACAGCGTCAACCCAGGTGTGGCGGCTGTGCAACAGTGTCTGAGCCGCCTGACACCTTACCCGTACCCCTTAAAAAATGTATAGATCTCCAGTGTTTTGAGGGAAAGGTTCAAGGTTACAGAACGCTAAGATTCCGTCTTCCTCTTTGGACCGTGGCTCTGAAAGCACTGTGGTCATTTTACTCAACGGTTTCCTCTCCGCCTGGATCACCTTCCCGTCCTGGCCAATCCTTACTCACGTTTCTTCTCTCAGAAGCCCTCCCATGCTTCTCCCGGCCCCGTGAGGTAACTCTGTCTTGGGCATTGATCGCTTTGTGTGGCCAAGTGCTTGTTTTACTGAGTGTGTTCAGGCAGATGAGGCACTTCCTGGGGGCAGGGCTCACATTTACAGCTAAATACCCAGGAACTGACAGCTCTCCTGAGTGGCCAGTAAATTATGTTAAATCCATCGCACAGAAAGAGAGGAATGGATGAAAGCACTCTCCCCATTGATTTAGAAGAGGGAGGAGACATGAACCTAGGTGGAGTAGGGTCCTAACGGAAGGCCCGGTCTTTCCAAACAAGACTAGGTTCCAAGAAGCTTCTCATTGAGGTCAGGCCGTCAACCCCCCTCCTGCAGCCCCACTTCAGGGCCCTTCCAGGCTTCCCCTCAGCAAGCCTGGTTAGAGTTGCACACAGTTGCTTCTCCCTGGAGTCCTGACCCCTCCCAGGCTGGCGTGGGCCTCCCCAGCGCCAGTCGACAGTGCCTGTGGGCAACCAGGTGGCAGTTGGGCACCCAGCTCAATGGCTCCTCTGTTCCACTCCTGGCTCCACGCCCTGCACCACGAAGCCCCAGACCCCCACCCTGGGCTGGGGCATCCAGAGAGCTACCCACAAGGCCCAGAACAGGAGTGACAGCACAGTCACCAGCTGGGAAGGCTGGCAGGACCTGTACACAGTCTGGGCACAGAAAATCCCAGTCAGGCCCCAGGCCTGCATACCCAGAGCTTCTGTGTCTACGGGGGAATAAACCGCTTACAGGGAAACTGTCCCTGTGGAGTACATTTGGCCTACTCCAATCTGTCATTTGTGGCCCCTTGAAACCCCCCTCTGATGTGCCCACTGCCCTACCCAGCACCCGTCACAGAGAAAATGCTGAATGCATACTTACTGGATGTCTAAAGGAGCTCCCACCCAGGCTTTTATCCTTGAAGTGACACCAGTGCCACCCCCCCAACCTAGTCACTGTGATCTTTGAGTGACCTGAGTGGCCAGTGGCAGTGGGAGGATCAGGCTCACTGGAGAATCCACTTTTGGACAGGGATCAAAGTGTCTGGCTCCAGGAAGAATGGGAGAACTGCCAGCTAGAGAATTGGGAAGGCGCCTAGCAAAAGGGTGATACTTAGGCACAACCTCTCTCCTGTCCTCTCTGCCGGACACGGGTGACAGGTGCCAGCATACTGCAAAAATGCTGAACTATTTCCCAACAAGGAGGTAAAGCAGCAGCCACTCAAAAGGCCCCGTGCCACACCCTGTTTTCTCTTCTGTCATGCTGGAGACTGTCTCTAGGACCCTTCCACTCATCAACTGGGCAGTGCCCCTCCCAGAGCAGCTGTCAGCCTTTGAATCTCCTTCCTGCCCACGCCTCTCCCAAGGTAGCTGTCAGGACTACCATCTGCTTCCACTCTGCAGTTGGTCCAAAACATGTTCCCGACATTACCCATGGCTCTGGGGCTTGCAGAACAGGTACTTCGTGGGTTTCCGAGTTCCCAAACTCTCACACTCTCTCATTGCGTATTTCCTCCACTACTTTACCTTTACAAGTGTCTGTAAGCCTAACTCCCCTCCCCCCACCCGTTTTTTGTTTGTTTGTTTGTTTGTTTGTTTGTTTTTCTGTAGCAGGAGAAAGGTACTTGGAGGAAAGGGTAAGGAATAAATAGCAGGAAGGAGCTCTAACATCCTTAGCTGGAATGTTAACAGGGGTGACTGGTCAATAAATGTTAGCTCTTTGGGCTGGAGAGATGGCTCAGCAGTTAGGAGCACTGGCTGCTCTTCCAGAGGACCTGTGCTCAATTCCCAGCACCCACATGGTGGCTCACGACCATGATAACTCCAGTTCCAGGGGGAATCACCCGATGTCTTCTTCTGGTGTCCACAGGCACCACATGCACCTGGTACGAAGACACACAACGCAGACAAATCCCCGTAAACATAAGAATATTAAAAAGAAAATAAGTGGTAGTTCTTGTAACATTTTATAGTCATAATATTTCACGTTTGAGTCCTCAGAGTCCAGATGTGCCTGCTAGCATCAGAGTTTGTAGCTTGTCGGTGGCAGAGGCATGACTGAGACCCAACTCTCCTAAACGCCCAGTGCCTTTTCGTAAATGTTTCCAGATTTTTCTTTCCTCAAATTTTAGGTTCATATTTTAGTTTAGAGGCTGGGGACACAGCTCCATGACAGGAGCATTTGCCTAGCATTGCAAGACTACTCCCACACCCAGGTTCAATCGTTAGCACTAGAGAAAAAAAAAAAAAGATTATTTGAGCGCTGACAGTCTGATTCTGTTTAATTTAGTATTCCCCCAAAATAGTCAACCCTTTGTCACGGAAAACCTATGACCTGATCAGCGTAGTTAAGAGCACAGTACTTTTCTGATGTCAGACATCTGTCCCTGGTGCTCCTACTTACTGTAACAATGTCTGCTATTGTATCCGCCTGGGAAACTCCAACGTGAAACAAATACGTTATTCCCCATTTTCTAATTATAAAAGCAACACCATATTTAACAGAACACTCAAACATCACAGACAGGTGGCTGATGCCACCAACCCCTGTAAGGCCCTTGGGTATGACACTGTTTGTGTTCACTTCAAGCCAGTCTCACAGGCGGTAGGCCCCAGGACCCAAGAAATGGCGAATTCCGCACAGGACACCCCCTACACCATCCCTCCTAAGAGTCTCTCACTGCTAGTTTGCAAATGCTGCATGAATGCTGCCTCTCCTCTGGACACTGGTGACAGGTGCTGAGGGCCTAGGTGTGGTGCTCAGTCATGCTGCCTGGGCGGTAAGGTTCGGCTTACTTCTTGCTAGCGGAGACTGAGCGGGCCTCAGCATCGCTGTGCATCATTCAGGGCCCCGTATACAACCCAGGCATAGACTTTCTTAGAGGGCTGCCGTAAACACTGACCGGTCCAGTACACACGAGCTTCGGTCGCAGGCACAAGACATGTGCTCAGTCAATGCTCAGAGAGCCAATTTTGGGGTTCCCCCAGAGGCTCATACTGACAGATACATCATAAGCTCAAGGAGAGTAAAGCTCCTCAAGTCCATGCTATGCAGGAGTTGAATCCCATCTTTGCTCTTACACAATGCCATGCTGGCTTTGGGATGAGGACAAGTAGTATATAGCAGAGGTACCCCCCTAAATACTCAGCCCCAGCCAGGACCTGCTCAGCCTAGTCAGCTTTCTTCTCCCATCCATGAGCACCAGGGTCTGTCTCAGCTGCTGCCAGCTTTCAAAAGGCAGAGTACAAGGGCCAAGTTGTTGACCAAGTCACTCACTGGCCAAGCCATTACAGCTGTCTCTGAGACATCTGGTTTCAGACTGTGGTAGTGAAATGTGAGGGGGCAGGAGCTAACAGAGGGAACAGGGAGCCACACAACCAAGCAACAGTCCCAGCCTTGGAGCGCCAATGATAACACAGATAACCAGCCCAGGGCTGGTCCAACTGGGCCACACCAGCCATCCCCCTGGCCTCCTCCCTTTCCCCCTTTAGCTCCAGCAGTGAATAGCACAAGATAAGCTAACCAGACTTCCACATTCAGTGAAGGCACAAGAAGGCAAACTTAAGAAAAAAAAAAAAAAAAAAAGGGAAAAAAAGAAAAGCCTCAAAACACAAACACACAGTGAACAACAAGGAATGGGTGTCCTTCTCAGCACCTTCTCCAGCATCACAAAAGGACACGCGACACTCTGTGAACACTGGCTGAGAGTGATCCTAACTTCGACAGCCTCTAAACGAACAGCGGGACAGGAACGTCCTGATGGAATACAGACACCGTAACCTCTTGCCTCACTTTGCTCTTCCTGTTTGCCCACTCCTTTCTAAAAGGGGCCTGGATAAATGCATGCCTATGTGGCACATCTGTGATAGATCTGTTTTTGTTTGTTTCTTTCTTTCTTAAGTTCTGAATCCTGGGGCTAGGAAGCTGGCTCTGTGGGTAAAGGTTCTTGCCAAGAAGCCTGTCTCAGTTTGATCCCTAGAACCCACATGGTGGAAGGAGAGAACTGGCTCCCACAAGTTCCTTCCCACCTGTGACCTCCCATTGTGTGTAAGCACACAGACAACATACAAAGGTTTTCGGTATAGGGCTAGAGACGTCGTGCGGCGGTTACGAGCACATACTCCTCTTGAAAAAGCCCTGAGTTTGGTTCCCAGCATCAACATCAGGCACCTCACATCCTCCTCTAACCACAGCTGCAGGGGATCTGATGCCCCCTTCTGGTCTCTAAGGGCACTGCAGTCACACACACAAAGCCATATACAGATAGATACACACACAAACATACATACCTACTACTTAAAATTGTTAACAAAATCTTTTTAAAATTTTCAATACTATTTTGAGGGGCTATAAACACCTGCAAGAATTTGAGAGCTATGAGCCTCTCCCCATAAAAATGGGAAACAGCTCCACATAATATCTGGGTGCTCATGAGCCCTAGGATCTCCCCCTTGAGTTAGGAGTAGGAGGCCTGGTTTCAGTATGGGGTGCCTGTCTTATTACCCATGTCAGATCTTGCCTTCATACTGGCACAACAGAGGACACACTGCAGATGTGATAGGCATCCCAGTCTTCACTTAATCACAGCCTCGTTCCCTTTTCCTAATTAGATCACCTTCGTTTAGGCTTGGAAGACAGCAAACGCATGAACAGGAGGCCCAGCATCACGGACCTTCCGCCAGAGCAAAGCCTGGAAGTGGGACAAGGGCCGAGCACCAGAGGGAGTTCTTCTTTGGGGGCCATCTGGCCAGGCCCTAGCTGCCGGTTGCAGGATGTCGCTCTTGCTGTTCCCACACCTGCCCTGCCAGGCCTGCCCAGATGGTCAGCTCTGTGTCTTCTGCCAATTACACCAGTGGGTTTCAGAGTGGGCTGACAGCCAGAGAGCTCTGCATAGGAAGAAGGCTAATGAACCTCCAGGACCTCAGGGCCTTGTCCAGATCCTCATTCCCTCCCTCCTCCTCGCCCTATGGGCTCCTCGGCATCTGTAGCTTAGCACAGAAGCACTTCTACCCGTTCCGTACAACCTCAGGATGCAGGCCCTCTTGGGGTGCTCTGGCACCTCTTCCTGCCCATGAAGGAACTCTGCAGAGCTGAGAAGAGGGAGGAAGCAGCCCCACAGTACAGGAACAGTAGCTCAGTGGGAGTGGTGGTCCCGAGGCAGTACTGTACACTCAGCAGATGCTGGGGTGGGGGTGGGGTGCCTGGCTACCCGGGTTTAGAGTAAAAGCTCAGACACCTTGTCTGGCTTAGCTCTTCCTAGGGTAGGACTCTGGGATCCCCCCAATTCTGTTCCTAGGTGGCAGGGAGTTGGTTGATCTCTGAATAATGAGAAGCCCTGGGTCAGCTCACAGGACAGCTTAGATGGTACCTCCTGGTTCCTTTTATCATACCCACCAAAGAAAGCGCGGATTGTGTGGCTCCTGGGAGAGCCTGTTGGATTTCATTCCTGTCTCCGTGGCTGGCTGGCAAGAGAGCCAGGCACCTCTTGCGCACCCCCTCCCCCAGGCCTGAAAAACCCACAGCTCAGAGCTGACCCAACTGAAGCATGGGTAGTCTTGGCAAGCAGAGTCTAAGGGTCTGTGTGTATGGCTCCAACCTCTCCCTTGGAGGTTTCTGGGAGTAAGTGGAAGGAGAGCTGTGTCTCGGAAGTCCTGGACACTTAGGCCATCCTGATAATGGACAGACACCATTTTAGGACACTGTGTCAGATAGTCTGGAGACAAGAGAGAGGAAAGGGGAAAAAAATGGACGTTTTCCTAGAGAAACCCACAGCCTCGTGGGTAGCCTGTTAGGTCATTTTAAGCCACTACAGAAAGGAGAATAGCCAAGGACAGCTTAGGCCATGGGCCAACAGCCAGTGACCAGAGAGGAGGAGACTAGCTGATCAGTGGGCAGGACAGGGCTTCGATATTCCCCTCTGCCTCGCTGCCATGCCACCATCACCTCATATGATAGCAGCAGCAGGAAAGAGACCATACACAGTGCCCTTCAACCTTCCTTTGCAGCTCACGGATGCTGGGCCGGGATGGGCAGCCATGCTCTATGGCAAGGACTACGGGGGAAATGATTCACCCATCTGGGGCCCTTGTTCCAACCCTGACACATCTCTCTTATCCAGAAAGCCTGGCAGGACAGTAGACTCTTGGCTAAAAACCCCAGTTCTAAAACCTGAGGATTTAGACATGAACGGTTCTCTAATCAGATTTAAAAAAAAAAAATCTCCTCTACTGAAGAGAGGTGAATAAGCCCCAGAGAAGATGAGTTCTTAGCAGGGTAGCTCATAAAGTCACCATCCTCCAATTGAGGGATGGGGGAGGTCAAAAATGGCTTTCAGCTGTCTATCTTCCAGGACAGGATAAAACTGGAATTAAGAAGGAAACGAACTGCTGGGAGTTTTTCTCTTTTTCTCCCTGTCTGCAGACCCATGAAAAGCTCCAGTCTCCCTCAGAATGGCCTGAGAACGAGGGCAGCGAAGAGGAGATGCTGAATGAGCCTAGCTGCTCAGCCTTAACTGGGCAACAGGTCCTGGCCACGAAGTGTCCTTACACTTGGGGGAACACCGGAAGGAGTACGCTGGTACCCCAGTGGTGAGTTTTTTCAGTAAAGGCTGCACAATGCTCTTCCTGTCATCTGTCAGGAATACAACAGCCCAACCCCTCTAACCCCACTGGGAAAGGCAAAAGCCAGCGCTGGCTGTGCTCACTGAAGAAATCTCAGTTTTCAGCTCCCTTCTGGGGCTTCAGACCAGCAAAGACGCCTGGACTCCAGGACAGGACAGAGTGGGAGGAAGGAGAAAGAGGAGAGGAGAGACAGAGGAAAGCTTTGTGCGGGTTCTGCCTTGGAGGGAAGAGTCAAGAGATCAAAGGGCAGAGGAGCATGGAGAGAGGGCACAAAGGCCATAAACCAGCAAAGGGGAGGGAGGGGTTCGTAATGCCCGTTAGAAAAAAGGCTCCAGGATTTGGACCTTGCAAAGCTGAGAGCAGAACCCACGAGGGAGGTCATCACCCGTCCTGGGGCCCTAACAAGAAACAGGGGCAGAGTTTGGGGCTCAGATTAGTCGGCGAAGAATCTAACAAAGGGGTTAAAATCTGAGCCCCCATGTCAGGGTTCTAAGCTCGTGTCAACCAGAAATCCTGACAGCTAAAAGACGGAGCCCCAGCCAAGCCACCTTTGTCCCTCTCTTAAATCTCCAGACCTCAGACCACCACCCCTCCCGGCCACCCACGCCCGGCGCCGCACTCACCCTGTCGCCGCTGGCAGGGGGTCCGGAGATCCGCTCCTCCGGAGGGGGCGCCGGGGGGCCGGGGGTCTCGACCCGAATGAGGCGATGCGGGGGTGAGCCGTGGCGCGGGGGCGGAGTAGGGCCAGGGGCGGCGGGGGTGGAAAGGGCGGCGGACGCGGACGGGCCCCCGGTGTAGGGGTCCTCGAAGTCGCGGTCCCGCTGCAGCCGGTAGGCGGCCAGGATGTCCGGGGGCGGCGCAGGGGGCGCGGCCGGGCAGGGCGCTGGGGGGCGGTAGTCGGGCTCCGGAGGGGCGGGCTTGGCGCCCCCTCCGCCGCCGCCCCCGCGAAAGCCCAGATGCTCCCGCAGCCACTTGGCCACTCCGCCGCTGCCGCCCCCTCCCGGGCCGGTCCCCGCGCCCCCGGCCCCGCGGCGGGACCCCCCGGGGCCGCCTCCCGCGTTGCCCTGCGCCCGCGGCCCGGGGCCGGAGCCCGGAGGAGGAGCTCCGCTCAGTAGCATGGGGCCCTCCCAACTGAGCAGCCGACCGCGGGCGGCGGGGGCGGGGCGGGAGGGGGCGGAGCTGCGCCGGCGGGAGGGGCGGGGCTCGCCGGTGACTAGAGGGGCGGGGCCCGCTGCCTAACGGGGCCCGGAGGACCGGAGGGAAGTGGGTGGGAGACGGCGGGGCGCGACGGCTGCGCCGGGGGCGGTGGTGAGTCCTCCACGTGTCGTTACGCGTGCTCCTGTGCGGCGCTCGCTGGTCCCATCTGCTCCTCGTCTTCTTCTTCAGCTCCCTGTTTGCGTCAGACGCGGGGAGATGAGCCCCCCAGGCACATCCCGCTCGTCTTACTCCTTTCCCCAAGCCCAGAGACTCGGAAACAACCTTCCAGAAGGAGCTGTTCTTTACGAGCGCCCTCACCTTAGGAGTCCCGCCTAGCTCCTTCCATCCCTCAGCTCACACCCAAACGCAGGTTGCCTTTCCATCCAGGCAAACTTCTCACAGCTCATGCAATCAGATTCCCGGAGACACCCATTGCTCTGATGTTTCCACACAACACCCACCAGCTTCAGATGCCAACAACCCTCGTGCAGACAGTTCCTGTCCACGGCTCCACCTGTCCCGCTCCCCCAGCAGGCCCACGAAGCCCTGATGACTACCCTGCTTTCTTGTGGAAATCCCTCTAGCTATAATCCTGGGTTTGTCAATCAGGTTAGTGACAGAATAGAAACAGACAGTTAAGAAACAGGTTAAGAAACAGGTCCGGTGTTGCCTGTCTCCAGCCCCTTACCCTCTCAGGGCGCCGATGAAGCTCTGGTGCCCAGGTGCCTGGCGTTTTATCTTAGAAACAAGCAGATTGCTCACCAGAAGCCCTGAAGCTAAGGCCAACATTTTTCTCTGCTGGGGAAATGATCTGCTTTACTTCACCATAGTTCTGGCTCTGGGAACTGCCTCTGCCCCTCCCCGCCCTCTTGTAGTTGCTTATGGCTGTTTTTGAGATAGGGCTCCATACTGTAGCCTGCTAGGCGCAACCTGTAAAACCTCAGTCTCTACCCTAGTGATGCTCTGCCCCAGTCTCCAGAGAGGGTTGACTTGACCGGCATGCACCACCGTTTGTATGAGCAGAGAGAATCAGGTGAGCCTTCAAAGAAGGGGAGTTCAAAGCTGAGGGAGGGGGGTGTGATTGGAAAACAGCAAATTTATTATTCCTATGATTCTAGATTTCAAATATGTTACATTTCTGCAAATTCTAATGTCGTATGTATTCTCGCACAGTAATGTGACCCCCCCCCCCCGCTCCCGATCTCCTGGGGTTTGTGTGTCTTGTTATATTACAGATTATCATTCTTGCAGGTTTATTTGGGGAACTCCCAGGTGGTACAAATGCTGTTGGATCCAACCACACATTGGGTATCGCGCCTGTAAAGGACACCGAAAACCTTCACTCCATAAGGTGTAATACAGAAAGTGAGAGGCTTACATTCCGGAATGCACAGTTCAAAATGCTAACTAATGATGCAAAGCTGAACAAAAAGAGGGGTGACAGGTGCCGATGGTACCCGATGGTATTCTAGTTAATCCATATGAGAAGTTCTCCACTCCACTCCACATGGAAGAATGGAAGTCATTGGCCAGGAGTCAACACCTGTAGGATGGAGACAGCTCTTCCGCCAAGACAATGCCCCGGTCCTACCCTAGAAAGGGTAATAGTGGTTTTTGGTATGAACATTAAGGGTGATGAATGATGTGAGCTAGCTTGTTTGTGACAGGCCCTTGCTATGTGTGGCCCTGGCTAGCCTGGTAGGCGCTTTGCAATCAGGCCTGCCCTCAGGCTGTTGTTTCAACAACAGCTGCAATCCTGTTGTTTCAAGCATTCCCAAGTTCTGGGGTTCCAGGGGTGAGCCACCACACTAGTTGTATTTGCTTCAAAAAAATTTATAATATGATGATTGTGGGGGCATGGCCATCTGTGTTGGTTTGTATGAGAACGGTGCCCACAGACACGTTTGTTGGGAAGGATTGGGGGGGGGTGTGGCCTTGTGGAGGAGGTGTGTCACTGAGGGAGTTTCAAAAGCCCACAGCAAGCTCTCCACCCACCCACTCTTGGTGTGGATCAGGATGTAAAGCTCTGAGCTACTTCCATCTTCAGCAACATGTCTGCCTGACTGCCTGCCACCGTGCGCTTTGCCATGATGGACTAACCCTCTGAAACCATAAGTAAATGCTCAATTAAATGCTTTCTTCTATGAGTTGCCTTGGTCATGGTGTCTCTTCATCTAAACAGAACAGTGACTAAATGAGCTGCACACCCATAATCCCAGTACTTGGAAGGTTGTAGCCACGGGGTCAGGAGTTCAGGGACGCCATCTTGATAAGGAGTTTGAGACCAGCCTAAGCCGGGGGCTGCCTGAAACCCTGTCCCAGCAGCTACATAGGGCAATTCCAACTCCAGGGCATCCCCCATCCTTTCTGAGCTTCTGTGAACACCTGTGCGTGTGTGTGCTTGTGCGCGCATGTGCGTGCACACACACACACACACACACAGAAAGGCAAAAATACCCATACATATAAAAGTAAATAAATCTTTTTAAAAACAATATTTTAACATAAACTTAAAAATAAATGTTAAAAGAAAGAGAAACCGCCAGTAGAAAAGTAAGAAACGAAACCATTGGTGTATGCTTCTCAAAGAAAAGCTGAGGAGGCAAGACATCCGCCAGTGTGGGTACAGGCTCCTGCAAGCTCCTCAGGGGTCGGGGTCATTGCTTTTTGTAGGTTTTATTTTTTACAATAATCATACACATGGTTTTGGAGGGGTTTGAAGTTACCATATTCGCAGACTTGCTAAGAGACCCAAATGAGGCCACAAGGTGCATCCTCTGGGCTCCCTGACAAGACTCTAATTGATCAGGTAAAGTCTTCCTTACAGGACTACAAGAATGTAGGATCATCTATGAAAAGCAAAGCCAGCAGTCCTGTTAGGATTCTTTGGAGATGTGTGGGGAAATGAATGAGGGCTGTCCCGACCACAGACATTCAGGACCTAAACCTGTTGTTAAGAGCATCAGCTACTCTCCCTGGGAACTTGGGTTCAGTTCCCAGCACCCACTTGGAAGCTTATGACCCTTTGTGACTCTAGTTCCAGGGGATCTGGCGCCCTCTTCTGGCCTCCACAGGTACCAGGCTTTCACAGAGGGCAGAGGCATAGCAGTGACACACTGTATGGCTCTACAGTCCTGTCTTCCAGAGGACTTTGACCCCCAATACCAGTGTCTGGAGGCCCACAAGCTATTTGTATCTCCAGCTCCAGGGGATTGGACACTGTCTTCTGGCCTCCATAGACAACTGCACATATGTGGCATACACACACACACACACACACACACACATCAAACAATAAAAAATATTTTAAAAATAAAAATTTTCAGTGTGCTATAATCTACTGCAATCATTATACCATAATTCCTTTTGATACTCAAACTGTCCCGATTTGGCCAATGAAAGCCTTCTCAAGCTTTGTGCCTTTTACTTGGTCTCATCATTCTTCTTATCAATCTTTTTTTTTTTCTTCTCTCTCCTCGAGTCAGGGTATCTCTGTGTCATGTGCCTGGCTGTCCTGGACTCACTTTGTAGACCAGGCTCCCATTGAACTCACAGAGATCTGCCTGCCTCTGCCTCCTGAGTGCTGGGCTTAAAGGTGTGTGTCGCTATGCCTGGTCTCTCTTCTCTGGTCCCTCCTCTGAAGACTGAAGCTGAATGTAGTGCCACACACCTATGATCCCAGAGAAACCCTGTCTCAAAAAACAAATAAAGCAAGCAAGCAAGCAAGCAAGCAAACAAAAAAACCAAAACACAACCCTAAACCAAAAAACTGAGATTGGGCTCCATGTGTGGCATTTTTTTCAACAACACGTATGGTGTTTTGCCTACTTGTATGTCTATGTAGCACTTGTACGTCAGAAGAGGATATTGGATCCAGTTACAGATGGTTGTGAACCATTGTGTGGGTGCTGGGAATAGGACCCAGATCCCACTGTTCTAAGTCACAGAACTATTCTTCCTCATTGTACCAGTTTCTGTTTGGCCTACATAGTTTTGGTCAACCCACCATTAAAGATGTTAAGTCAGCTTCCAGTGTTTACAGTAATGGGACATTTTGTGCAAAAATCCAAGTTCCTGGCTCCTCCTAAAACAGCAGAAAGTCTGGCTTGTGTCTCTATCAGAAACAGCTGGCAGAAGATGAGCAGCCAGGGTGCCTTCAACTGAATTCACATTGTCAGAGACTGTCTTAGGATTTCACGGAAGCTCCAAGCTTTTACAACCAACTTTCACATCCTTCCTTACTGTCATGTCCCTTTGAAGGCTGGGAAAAAACCGAAAGGGAGAAAGGGAGAGAGCGAAGAAAGGAAGGGAAGGAGAAAAGAGAATGTGTACAGAGGGCTTTGTGTTACTGGAAAAACAGGAGAGCAGGAGGCACCGTTTTTTGTTTCTGTTTTGTTTTTTGGGTAGAATCAAATTATCTCTTTAATATGAAAATAATGTGATTCTATACTGAAAGAACATAACAGAAGACAGAATTCTGCAATTATAAAGCAAACCTTGCCACTCATTTATAGACTATAAGAAATCCCCCAAAGCCAGGCACACTGTGCGTCTGTAATCTCAACTCTAGAGGCTAGACTGACTTTGAGACTAGCCTAGTCAGGGAACAAGCAAGATCCCGGCAGAAGGGGCAGACAACAACCAAAGAGCCCCCTGCTCAAAAATCTATTATGGAGCTAGGTGTGGTAGAATGAACACGCCTGTAATCTCAGTATCTGGGAGGTTGGGGCAGGAGAATCCAGAGTCAACTTTGACAACAAAGGGAGTTCAAGGCCAGCCTCACCTACACGAGCCTCTTCCTCAAAACAACCAGCAAAACATCTAGGCAGTGCTTGTGTGTGTTTGGAGCACAATCACGGTGTTTTAGAACGCCCAAAAGGTGGCGAGCATCCTAGCCCTGGGAAGGCTGAAGGGTCTGGAG